TTGGCCTTCTTTGGTTATATGATTATTTAAAATTTGCTGTTTTCTAAATATTTTACACTGCGTTTGTTCACTATAATTGTTATTTTTGTATTAGTGTTCCTTTTACAGTAAATAAATTAACAATAGGTACTGAACCGCATTTTTAGCATAACAGAAAAGAAGCTTTTTATTCTCACAAAGTGCACCACCTTTCACAGAAAAGAGGGCATAAAATGGTAAGGATTTTTGCGCAAAGTAGACTAAAAGTTATGTAGTCTACTTGAGAGGAGAGTGAGAATAATTTAGGAAAATATAACCGATTTTAACTTTCGCTGTTGGAAGCAGCAAGTCTTTGAGAGTGGTGACGTCAGTTGTTGGAAAAAAAAAAAGTTATAGCACAGAAATAGGTATCAGCGAGTTAAGTCTATTGTACGCTCAATATTAAAGTATAATGAAACTTCAGATAATCAAAAAAAGCCGTAGAAGACAAAAATGACGAAAAAAATACTTTCAGATAAAAATAATTTTACTATTTGATGATGCTGTTGTGGAACTAAGCCTACATTTTACAAGGAAGAGTGACAACTGAAAAAAAGACACGATTTGCTTCAAAGAAGGCGCAGCAAAGCAGTTTTCCTGTATAATTTGTAGTGGATGCAACTATAGAAATTTTACTAGAACATAAAAGAATGGTCACTTTTAGAGCAGATTTAATCTGCAATGGACCATAAAATTTGTCAAGTAGAAAAAGTTAGCGTAGTTGACACTAGTTTCAATAGATAGAAAAAGGGGTGAGGTAAGAATGTTCCGTATTTTTTCAAGAAATTATTTTTTAGTTTTTTAAAAAAATATTTCAACGAGGAGGAGGCTGACGAAGTTTTCATGGTTTGGTTTAGACACTTGTGAGCAAGGATGAAGATATGCCGTTCAAGCAGCCGGCGGTTTTTTTGTCAAGATTTTTCAAGGCACGTTTTCGTCTGCTATAGAATGCGGTTTATACTTGAGAAGGGTAAGGAGGTGTAATTACGAGAGTTAGACGAGGTGTTTAAAAAGGTGATCAGAAGCAGAAATTGTGAAAGTAACACTACCACTGTTTTTGTGTTTTACCTCTCGAGTCTTTCACTAATTGCTTCTGAAAAAAAAAAAAAAAAAAAAAA